CTACACATAAAGAAGTAGGTGTGAGAGCTGATGTTAACTGTGAAGATCGCTCATTAAGGAACCCAAGCGATAAAAAGCTAGCGGAAGAAAGATCAAGTAAGCCAAGGTCTTATTCCTCATCTTTTCAGACAAATTCATTGCAAACATTGCACAATGTTGTTATAGGCCCCATAAGAGACTTACTCGACGGCGATGAAATTGTGATTGTTCCAGAAGGACCTTTGTGTTTGGCGCCTTATGTTGCTTTTATGGACTTGAAATCAAAGTACCTCTGCGAAACTTTCAGAATTCGTCTGCTCCCCTCGCTTTCTAGTCTTCGATTAATCCAAGACTGTCCAACAGATTGGCACAGCAAGACTGGCGCTCTTCTCGTCGGCGATCCGTGGGTACAGGAGGTAACGACGCTAGAGCAGTTAGAGTGGGCCGAAAAAGAAGTGCAGATGATTGGGGAAATTCTTCACACTGTACCTCTCGTTGGAAAGCAGGCAACAAAAGATGAAGTTTTGAGACGTATCTCCTCTGTTGCTTTGGTCCATATTGCTGCTCACGGTGAAATGGAAACAGGAGAAATTGCCTTGGCTCCTAAAACAACAAGTTCATCCGTAAATCCAGCTAGGAAGGAGGACTATCTCTTAACTATGAAAGATGTTTTAAAGGCGCAGATTAGGGCAAGACTTGTTGTACTTAGTTGTTGTCATAGTGGTCGGGGAGAAATCAAATCTGAGGGTGTGGTCGGCATCGCACGGGCTTTTTTGGGTGCTGGTGCTCGTGCTGTTCTGGTGTCCCTGTGGGCGATCGACGACGAAGCTACTATGGAGTTCATGAAAGTTTTCTACCAAGAACTAGTCCATGGACGAAGTGCCAGTGAGGCCCTGAATAAAGCCATGAAATCCATGAGAGAATCTGACGACTTTAGCGCAGTGAGGTACTGGGCGCCTTTTGTTCTCATTGGTGATGACGTAACGCTCGAGTTTGAAGGCATCAATTAAATAGCAAGGTATTTTGGAATATATTTAATCCTGGGATCATAATCCCTGCATTTGCAATCGTCATTTTAACTAGCAATTATTTTTTTCACTTATCGGGCAACGAACTCAACCGATGCCACGTGTAGCGTCGATCTGCTTATCACAGGTCAAGTTGACAGTAAGAAAGGAAACTTTGTTTGGCAGTTAAACATTACAAATTTATTTCAAATTTCGTAATTTCTTTACATTTTAAAGTGACAGTGATCCTCTTTGAGCTCTTTCCGAATGATTGTACCTTACAGTCGAACCTGATGTATTCGACTACCCAAAATTTTCTGTCGCTTACGGAAGGTGATCGACTAGGAGAGTCACGGGCTTCAGTTATGGTGCTTTGAGGGACTTATTTATTTCAAAGACGTTTGAGAGGGAGGGGGTGGGGGCTTGTTCAATTAACTGAATATCGTAGTCTCCATAAAGAACTAGAACACAAAGTGGAAAAGCTTTAGTTGGAGGTCATACAGCCGAAGAACAACAACCAGTTCTAACCTTCAGTCCAGTTACGGTCGCATGAACATTTAATACACCTATCATATACGTCTATTGGCTAAGAGTAATGGTAGTGGGGCTTGAAAGAGAGAGAGAGAGGGAGCTTTCGCGCTTTCTTTCTTTGAAAAGGTTGGACAGTTTAGAGAAGGGGGGTGGGAGGGCTTTATTAAACATTTTGGGTTGTAAGTGTCGGTTAATCTGCAGTAAGGTTTCTCGTACGATGAGAGTTACAGGTTTTAATGGTATTCTATGCTCGAAATGATTTCGAGGTCAGGCGCCAAAATATTAACTGTTTGACTTCGCAGGCTGAAATCACTATTCTTCTGCTAGCTTGCTAACGTTTCTCCTTGCTGTTTTTGTTGTATAGGTACGATGAAGAATGCAGTGAAGCAGTTCCTAATTATCTGAGGTTGAAGACAGTTTAATTTTCATCTCAATTACGCGGTAGAGCGTTCCTCGCAAGGATGGCAACTCTTTATCTTGAAGAGAAAGAACATGATGCTTCTTCTTTTGATTTATTTGTTTTTGTCACATTACAGGCTGTAGAATTTAGATAAATGTACAGAAAAAGACGGGGACGGGGAAGCCTGAACTGGAAGCCTGGGGCTTAGGTAGGCTCCAGGCTTCTCCTAGGTTACATTCTCGTCCCCGGAGCCTCCTAGGGGCCTGAGCACGAAAACCAGGACGCTGTTGTAGAAAATCAGAAATGACCGAAAGTCCTAAAATCTAGGACTTCAAATCCTGTGTCCCCAGAGCCTCCTGGTTCTCGTGCTCAGGCCCCCAGGAGGCTCTGGGGACAAGAATGCTAGACTTAAAGAAGAGGAACGACGCGATTTAATCAAATCAACAACAGATTGCTAAGATACAGGAAAAAGGAATAGAATCAACATCAGTTACAAACAAAATTACTTAAAAAATAGGAGAAAGTTGAGTTGTATACAATCATTTAGAAATTATAAGGAGATTTGGTTGGATTATTATTAATAAAGATGGTCACATATTAACTAGAAATTTTTCGACAGAAGGTCACATTTAAGGGAAAATTTAAAATTAGCTAGACCATGTCATGGTAGTTAAATGTTTGCTTAGGTCCAGTTTAAACGTCGAACTTTCTCATATGCAGAATCTAATGCATAAATTACTAAAATTTGTTTTCACTTGTAAGCGTTTTAGACCATTGACATCATGAAAATGAATTGATGTCCGACTAATTAAGTTCGACATCTGAATCAACCGTCGAATGACTTATCATTTTTGGGTCGACCTAAATACTATTAGGTGTTAAGTTTGGTACTTGAAAAGATCGACGTTTGAACCTGGAGAGTTCCAAAAGTGTGTGCATTGGCAAGATATTTTTAATTTTTTTAAAGGTTGTGCGAGACTTTATATGGGGTCGACGATTCTGAGCAAATTGAGTATTGTAATCATGAATGAAGAGAACCAGATGTGAAAAGATTGTCGAAGCTCGAAGGCAATGTAAGGAGAGATTTTCCATGAATTCTTTATTTGCCGCGAATTTCATATCATTGACGTTGTTTTTAGTCATTCATATTGAAATTGCATAAAGATGTTTTAGCTCCTCAAAAAGGCTCGTGCCATTTTATTGCCCTTTAATTTGCTTTGTGTCTGCTAAGTAATAATTGTAGAAAAGCCAACAGTGTTCCTTAACAAACAAAACTAATTTCTCGTTCTCTTTTCAATTATAAACATCTTACTTCAATGATAACTTTTAAAAGGATAATTAGTTTCTGAATAATGGTTATTTAACTTCAGTCTATCTATCGTGATTTTACAACTCAGGGGCGGAGCCAGGATTTTTTTTAGGAGGGGGTGCACTCGTCTCTTGCTCTACTTCAACACCAATAAACCGCATAGTTTTTTTTGCAGAATACCAGTTGTACTAGAAACCGCAGGTCATCTCAGGGGGGGAGGGGGGTGCGCACCCCCTGCACCCTCCCCCTAGATCCGCCCCTGCAACTGGACGACATCTATTCATGGGCCTTTTGTACTGGTGCCACTTGTTTAAATTTGCAATTTAGCTGTCTATTTGCGAACAAATATTTCATTAAGTTGTTAGTCAAAAGAGGCAACAGGTGAATTTTGAATATGAAAGGTTTTGCTGTCTAGCTTGCAATTTTTTTAAATAGATCGGTTTTTGTTTAAGGTGAAAACTTGCAATTAGTCTACGCTTCTTCCTGTTGAAACAGCCGCTCGCTGAACTTGCATTTTCATTCATATTGTAACACTTTGTACATAAACGCTGTTCTGCTGACCTGGCTAGTTCTTATTTTCAGTACTTCAGACTTTCTAAAATAGCAACAGTATTAACAAAAGACTTCAGGTTAAAAATAGAGTTCGCATTTAGGACCCTCGTTTAGTTTTCAAAGTTTGTTTTGTCTTCATTGGTTGTAGAAATCATATTTAATATAAGTAAGCTAGTTTTTACTGTTTTTGGATTATTTTTGCTGTGTTCTTCCTGAGTTAATTATTGCCATTTGACCCGCTGAAGAATAAACGCTGTTGGAACCAAAGTTTAGTCCTGTTTAATCTACTGCTGTGTTTGCTGTACCAGTTAGTGGTTTGATCATATCCCAGTCCTACAGACAAATGACGGCTCTTTCCCGCAAGCGAGTTATCATTGGTTAAATTTGATCGTTTCAGAGTGCCGGGAAAAACCTTCCGTCACAGCAATAGATAGTAAGTTACATGTGATGACTTTTCCAAGGAGGTTTTTACTTCTTTTTCGTCAAGCCAATGCGAATTTAAAGTTGACATAAATACAAATCTGTGGACCCTATAACTGACGATCCTTGCGTTGAACATTTTGAACTTTTCATGACCATAATATACCCCCAAACAATAGCCTGCGTGACAGGCGCTAAAGGTTTGGAGGGGGTGGAGTGTAAGAAAGAGAAGAAGGGATCCCCTCTCCTTCTTTTCCTCCCTCCTTCTTTTCTTTCTTACTCCCCACCCACACCCCCCACTCCTCTTTTAACGCCTACTACGCAGGCTACCCAAATACTGATAATAAGGCCTGTTAATGTTAAGCCGTTCGACATTTCCCTTCCACAGAATGACAAAAAAAAAAAAATGACAGAAAAGTTTGACAACGATCAGCCATTTCTTTGAAGTACGATTAAGTAACTGTTAACAGAAAATTTTCAGGAAAGTTCTTTTCATTTATGAGTGATTTATACTTGGGACTTCGTAAGACATTAAAATGGATTAAGTCCTATCCTTGATGGCGAGGATCGAGACCGCGGCATACCTTTCGCGGGGGATGGTTTTGGATTCATTTACACACCTCATACAACCCAGCCCAACATCTTAGCCATGAGTTTAATATCATGAGCCATGTTTTTTTATCAAGCAAAAATGGCCGACGCCCTTCATTTTGACGCCCTTGGTTTTTATGCATGCCCAATAGGGCAGTAGTGTAGGAGCTGTTCGTAAGGTTTCTCCTGATTGGTCGCAGGAAACAATGACATGTCATTCTTCCTATTGTTTTAGTATTGTTTGGGGTCAGGGAAACGCACCATTGGCCCAATAGGGAGCTTAAGCAAAGGCGTTTTTGAACGACGCATGTCAACCGGAAGTGAGGCTTTTCCATTTTAATGTGCCGTCATGTGACGCTACCACATTTGTGCTGCGACTGTATTTTCTCTTAATGAACTTGTTCATGAATGCAAAAAGTCTACTTCTGATTGGCGTGCGTCGCTCAAAAAAAGCCTTTTCTGAGGACAGTGCCTTTGTGAACCAACATAGATTTCAGGCTACAGCCAAATTTAAGTTACAAAATCATTTTTTTGTCACTGGGACCGTAGTCTGCTACACAGCCATTTTTAGAGTCGTCACGCAACGCTCCTCCTGAGGAGCAGACTACTGGGACCTTGGTCTTACAAGAAGTGACCCACGACTTTTTCCTCAGGATTCAACGCATCCGCATAAAAAGCTCAGTTTATACGATAACGAAAACGTCCGCGTGCTTATTTTCGATATTGATTGAGTTTTTGTATAAAAGCTGCCAGACAATGAATTATGCTGTCTTTGAGTTTCTAGACGAAATAAGGCCCGGGAGGTACTCCGGGGACTATGCGGCAGGTTTGGGAGGGTGCACCCAGTTCTCCAAATCGTGACCCTATTTTAGACCAAAAAATGCCATTTTTCACATCGGTTTCATACCTGTTTTCAAACCCAGCCTGAGAAATTATCAAGATCAATATATAAGGTTTATATAGAGAGAGAAAACCGTTTACAGTACAACTCATAAAACGGTCATAAATCGGCCCATGAACCACACGGGAGAGATGTAACACACATTTTATGTAAGGTAAGCTGTTTATTATTTAAATCCTTTCATTTTCGTAGGTTACAGAAATGAAGGGTTTTTTCCCCATACGATCGTTATATTTCGAATGTTACGCAACAATGCCGATGCTCGCCGATACTCATATTTCGATCTTGGGCTACCTGTGATGTAAGTGCTACAGTTTGCGAGCACAATCTATCAAAGCCAAGAGAGAATATCTCATTCTCTCTTGTCAAAGCCTACTCCTGATCAGACAAAATTTCAAGAAGACACAAGAATTTAACAAAATACTTAAAAAACATGGATAACTATTATCCATGTTAAAAAACAAAAGAACTATAAACAGTTTCATAATATTCTCATCCTTCGCTAGCATTCGCCCATGTAGCCTGGGTACGAGAGGAAGGAGCATCTTCGGTACTCATACCTTGGCTCCTACCAGATGAAGGTCACAAATAATGCAACGTGGTCCTACATGTGCAAAGTCGGAAGTTGTACGAACGTTCGTGTTTTGATACGAATACTAGTGAAAATGTAAATTCTCAGTTGTTTTTTCGCCTATTTGAAACCCTGTGGGAATTTTATTAAATCATTAATGTTCTTGACCTCGTAAACACTGCCTTTTTTCACTCCGGTGAGGAGAAAATCGCGTCTCTTTTAGCTCCATGTGCAATGTGAAGTCGACGACGACCATTTTTTGGATGCGATTTCATGGCCGATAATTTGCTACAAGGGCTTCAGGCGGCCGCAAATGCAACATCACAGGCAGGGGTGAGTTTCTTGCTAACTATTTTTCTTTTGAACGGTTCGGTTGGCGTTCGAACATTATATAGCAATGCAATCGTACATAGATTATACATTGTCATTAACATTATTCTTATTAATTTTTTTTGGCCAATAATGATAGGCCCTGCAATATTTTGAACAGCTAAAGAATTCCCCAGACGGCTGGAAGCTATGTGGTGATGCCCTAATTCGAAATCTTTACAGGTAATTGAAATTTGATATTAAAGTTAATTGTTTTACTGTGGTATTAAGTCGTTAACGTTTTGGACCTCATTGAGCATTATTTCAGACCTTGATTAAAAATATGCATTGTTTGATATAATTTATATTGATTTTATGTTATCATTCATAATTCATATGCATCTATATAGTACATTGTCTTTCATTCAAAATATTTTCTCTATTTGTGATTGACCAAATTTGGATAGTCTGGAACCAGCTCCACAGTGGGGGAAAAGGGCACAAAACAGGGTCAAAAAGGAAAAAGCGATGGCCTGGAGGGGGAAGTGGGGGGGGGGATGCAGCAGATCCTAGAGACATGCCTTTGATGCTGCCGTTCTGTGATACCATTCTGGTGTCAAATGTCTTCATGTTGACAGATTCGCGGTGCTGTGGACAGTATCGCGCTCTTTCAATAGAAGGCTCATAGAATTTGAGAAAAGATTTTAAGAGATGAACGAGGGTGGATTGGTGGCATCAACGCATTTCTCCAGGCTCTACCTTTTCTCTTCCCCAGACTACCTCTTACCCGTTTTGCTTCGCTATATCGAAGACCCCACTATTCAGCCTGTAACCAACAATTTTTTTGGTACCATGGCACTTCGTTATAATGGAGTTCCATCAAAATCCTGCAAACAAGCTAGGGCTGGCAGGAAATGAACAATTAAGGCAAGAGGGATTTCAATTTGACTTGCTGAATGCTCCCAATCTTCTTGCAGCCCCGACACCTAAAAACAACAGCGAACAGACTGCTTATCTTGCAAGCTACACAGGCTAATGTAACTAGACATGCAGGGCTCGAATTTAAAAAAAATCCTCAGGTTGCCCTGTGGCGAACAACTGGAGAAATATAGTCGTCAGATGCAAATTTTTAGTCTCCAGTTTTTATAATGTAAATGACGCAGCACAGAGCTTGTGATATTTCGCGCGGTCGTGAAGCCATGAAATTCAGGTAAATCCGTGAAATTCACAAAAGCACGTAAAATACCGCAAAATTTTGTAGAAATCTTATGAGATACGTGTCTGTACAACATATTTGAAATTTATCTCAGCAAATTTATCTTGAAACTTCGTCACTAAAACATGCAAACAACGTTCCGAAACTACCAGGCGTAGATTATGTTGTGAAAAACTGGGCACTAGCCATGACGTTAAAGGCTTTGCCATTGGTTCATTTCCATCAAAATCCTGCAAACAAGTTAGGGCTGGCAGGAAATGAACAATTAAGGCAAGCAAGATTTCAATTTGACTTGCTGAATGCTCCCAATCTTCTTGTGGCCCCGACACCTAAAAACAACAGCAAACAGACTGCTTATCTTGCAAGCTACACAGGCTAATGTAACTAGACATGTAGGGCTTGAAATTAAAAAAAATCCTCAGGTTGCCTTGTGGCGAACAACTGGAGAATTATAGTCGTCAGATGCAAATTTTTAGTCTCCAGTTTTTGTAATGTAAATGACGCAGCTCAGGGCTTGTGATATTTCGCGCGGTCGTAAAGCCATGAAATTCAGGTAAATCCGTGAAATTCACAAAAGCATGCAAAATACTGCAAAATTTGGTAGAAATCTTATGAGATACGTGTCTGTACAACATATTTGAAATTTATCTCAGCAAATTTATCTTGAAACTTCGTCACTAAAACATGCAAACAACATCCCGAAACTACCAGGCGTAGATTATGTTGTGAAAACTGGGCGCTAGCCATGACGTTAAAGGCTTTGCCATTGGTTCATTTCTGGAGCGTATTGTTGTTGAAAGAGCAAATGATGACCTCTGTTTGAAAAACGTTAAAAATGCTGGTGTGATCAGCCAATCGATTTCTAGCGAATTTTCCCTGAAAATAACCACAAAATTGGCCGTTTTTTTCCAATTGTATTTAGGCGAAGTTTGCACCGAAAATTCCCAGGAAATTGACCAATTTTTCTGGGGATTTGTCCCTAAAAATCCTGCAAAATTTGACTTATTTTTCACAAACTGTGAGAAGCCCATGGTGTATAGTATTGCGCCATCCATCAGATTTGAAAATATCATCAATAGAAGTCGGTATATATTCGGAGATAAACTGGCTTTGTTTATGCGATTTGGCACATTTTTTATTATGTAAGCAAAGCAAGATAATATGAAATGTTTGTTTTAACTTTACTCTTTTAATTAAATTTTATATCTAAAGCATAGAGAAATCTGATTGCTACTTTGGTGACTAAACCAAAACTTTTAGTCGCCAAGGAGAAAATGTTAGTTTCATTGGCGACCTTATTACTCGCAATTTCAAGCCCTGACATGTCATAAAGTTTTTATGGTGGGGTTTCACTGTACCTGCAAAAGGGCAAGACATCGACATCCTACAAACAAGCCAGGGCTGCATTACAGAACGGCGCCTGTAGATCCGTGTCACCTGCAAAATCGCGGGTCCCATGACTATTTGCGCACTCACAAAGGAACCCGACGCATGTTTTGTCCTTTGATTCAAGACTCTAGTGTTAGTGTATTGTTTCCACTATACTAAGGTAATTTGACTTAAGAAAATCAATAGATCGAAGCTTTCGCGCTACTCTCTGTTTTATATGGAAATGCAAACGCTCAACTTGTCAAATATTTTGACTTCATAAGATATTAAGATTTAGGCCAGCAGAATGTATACAATGCCAGAAAAACAATCAGGAAGTCGAATGGTTTTGAACTGCACTAGAAGTTGTTTTTATCAGTATGCAAATCACCTACCCAATCACTTACTTTCCATCAAACTGAAATATCCTGACTTTTTTTACCGCTTTTCGATTTGCTTCGTGTCATTTTATATTATTTTGTGCAAGCTGAGTTCTTTCATGCTAATTTGCACTTTCAAAAAGAAAAAAACTTCGAGGAAACGTTGTGTTTACAACCACCGCAATTCGTATCTATTTCGCTTCACTTACACTTACGTGCAAATTACTGTTCATCCGCCTGATTTCGCTGGAGACAAAAATGTCGATTTTGAATAATTCCCAGATACTTGTTTTTTCGGACACCCTTTTTATTTTGGCTATCAAGATTTTATAAGCTAAGCTTCAGACTTTTCATTCCAACGTTTTAATGCGGGAAAGTTAAGAGAAATGCTGCAACTGATTTAAGTCACGCAACAGACCTTAAGACTGCATAACTTGATCTTTCTGATATCTTTTGTTCTTCTATTGTCTCCAAAACATTAACGATGTTTCACCAATTTCCACCTACAAATAATAGGAGATATTTGATTGACAACAATTTGCATTTACTAGCGAGGCGTTTCTACAGGCACGATTTTGTAATGTGGGGTGAAAACAAGAATTGGGGCAAGTAGGATTTCAATTTGACTTGCGGAATGCTCCCAATCTTCTTGTGGCTCCAACACCAAAAACAACAGCAATAACCTGCTTGTCTTGCCAGCTACACAGGCTAATCAGCTATGTAGCTAGACATGTCATGAAGTGTGTTGCAGTTATTGAAAAAGTTAATTATTTGAAAAACTATGTGTGTTTTTACCTATGTATACAACTGTTTCAAGAAAAGTTGTTGGAAAAAGTGCACGCGACAATCCCAAAAGGTATTGTGGGTGGTTTTTAGTTCACTGGTTTTCAAAGAAATTTCAAAGAATGGCAAGAAAGGCCATGGACGTATGTTTGCGAGTGCTAAAGGAAAGCAACAAAAGTAGATTTGACAGCTACAGTGTCAGGAACAAGTGTATTGATCGTATCCCATATTACCTTTCGGGATTGTCGCGTGCACTGTTTTTCCAACAACCTTTCTCGAAATAGCTGTATACCCAGTTGATACAGTTAAGACTCTGGACAGTACACTCCTCTTAAGTAGACAGCTCTTCTTTCAGCTTATATCAGTTTTTTCACATACCTGCCATTACGCTTCAAAACACCACTTGAATTTTATGCTTGTGCCTGAATTACAGCATTGTCAGAGCAACTGTATCAAACAGTTTTTTTTTGGTATCCCGGTATTTATTCATCACAGAAATGCACCCATTGATAATTGACGATCATGAAAAATGACATAGTGAGAGTGTCAATCAAGAAATCCCCTGTGTATATCCTTTTCCTGATTATTGTTCTTGCTAGGAATACCACAAAATAATTTAAGAATAAAACTTCACGCAACTAACAATTAATACTTCAGTCTATCTGTCTAAATTTAATCCAAATTAGCACATGTAAGTTAAACCCTTTAAAATTGATTCCAACACTTAAAATAATGGTAACATACCAGTGCGTATTGTTTCTGCATTGCTTCTGGAAAGTGTGAGAATTGTCAATCACTATAAAGTTCTTAAGAGGCTGAAAATGGCTTTATGGGTACCCCACTTTTCACATTTGACATAGTTATCAATGGATGCCAAACTGTAATGTTGTACCTGAGTAAGTTCCCATAAGCTGCCAATGATATATATAACCCTTTCACCTCTAGTGGCTGCAGACGAGAACCATTCTTGTAAGTGATCAGCTTCATGCAGTTATGGACACATTTCTCTCATGTCAAGGTTGCCACTCACATGAGCATCTATTCTAGTACATGCACGTAGCTCCAGTATCACATCAACTGTCTTGTGTATGGGTGTGATATAAGAACATTTCATCTGCCTTTGCATTATTGGTCTTCTCTATTGTTTTTTTTGTTGTTGTTTTAGTGATGAAAGTGTCAAGTTCTTTTGCTTTCAAGTATTAGAGCATCACATAAAAACAAGGTAACATTAAACATTGATAATTTCTAATTATAATGATTAATAATACATTTTACATGATTATTATAATGTGCATCCATTTTAAAATTAATCTTCCTTCCATGGAAAAATCAAAAAGGTTTTATTCTGTTGGTTGATCCGCCATTTTAAATTTTTGTCCACCAAATTATTCTGAATAACTCTTATTAAAAGATGTTATCAGAAAATTTAATTTTTAAATATTTACTCACTTGGTATGATATTATGTAGGCTATCAATTGGGTTTAATTGTTTTCTTACCAGGAATAACTTATAAACATTTAATCACTAGCTGTATTCAGTATACACATGCTTCAGTCTCCTGTACTGTACAAGACGCCTTGGATGATCTTGTCTAAGTCTGTGATCCTACCCAAAAAAAGGCTATGTTTTTTTATTTTTTTATTCTGTGCACAGACATGTGTCATCAAATCTTGTAGATCAAGCACTCAGAGAGATTCTTTTGACCTGGCTACGAAATCAGGTACACTAGGCTAATTTACTCTATAGTAGAATCCCAAGGAACATTTTCTCATTTTTTGCCACTCGCCCTAGATTGCAATGTCTGTCTTTAGGTGAAAAAGGATGTCTTGCTAATACCTTTGACATATTATTATGGTCTAGACTCTCTCTTTGTCTTTCATCTAAATTGATTGAAACAACTTGTTTTTATGTCAAAAGGTAGAGCAAAATAATATTGTCAATTTTTTATAGTTGTGCAAAGATGCCTAAAAGTGGACATAAGTGCATTGGTTTGCAAAGCCATGAGAGTCTTCCTAGCACCTTTGTTTTTTGAATTCTTATACCTACACTGTAGCAGTAATTGTAACATTTTCACTGCAATTTTTCATTGACCCTTGTTGTAACTTTTCAGTGTTGTACCGAGTCAGATAACAAGAATTTCTTGAAGAACAAGGCAGCGCAAGTCTTTATCTTGATCTTTGTCTGTGATTATCCTGAGAAGGTTAGCTGATTTATTGTTATTTCAAGTGTAATGAGTGTGAATATTGGTACCCTAAATTGTAACTTGTGCCCAGATTTCATTCAGTGTGAGAGAACTTCATTTAATTTCCTGCTTCCTGCTCAGCCAGCAAGAAAAACATTTTTTTCGCATTTAAACCTATTGACAATCAGGTAACAACTGCGACTCTTGGTGAAAGTGGGTGCCCAGGATGACCAGGGTCTTGCACTTTTGTCACAGTCAGCCCTTAGATTATGCCCTCATGACAGGTAAACTCACGCCTTCCAGCCATGAGCCCCCTAACCTGAGATCAGGCGTTATTTTTTTTTTGGCTTCTTTGCTTCTTTGGCTCGAGAGGGAAAAAAGTAACGCCTGATACATTCATTTAACAAGCCATCAACCGCCCCCTAATTTACATAATCTAACGTCTGCATGACCTGTCACGTTATTAGCCAATAAGCGTTTACCATACAGGAATCAAATTTTGGCGCGAATAATGTCTCTTTTGAAATCAATTTTAGGGAAAAGAAAATTTTTTAGTGCGTCCACATTCAGATGGCGCTTCGATTCCTAAAAAAAGTTTAAATGTGTTGTTTTTGTGACGAAATACTGCTAGCTGGAGCTGCCGTACCTTTATTTAACAGCTACAAATAATAAAGAATTTACTAGTTAAAGCTCGTTGACTTCGCTCTGTGTCGAAAGCAGTGAAAAAAAAATTAGGCTGAAGCACCATATTTCACGAACTGAAAGGTATTGTGAAAGCGAAGATCGCTCAGAATAATTCGCAGATTTCTGAGGGAGGAATTACGGTCAAACCAGGTCAAGATTCCATTCATGAATTGATTATTTGAAAAGTGAACCCGTTTGTCGCTTCTGTAACTTGTAGCCGGTATCAAATTGCATTCAAATGATCGGTGAAGTTTCGACTGCAACTTTTTAGTATACGATGAGATGGAAAATATTTCAATGGATGAAACTTCAATTTAGGCATTCTTCAAATTCAAGAAAACTGAGCCGACAGAAATTTCAAAACGAACTTGCGTGTGTATTCACTGCTCATTACGCACGCAAAAATGCAGACTGAAATCAACAACAACTAACAGATGGCGGCATTTTGGCCAATCGGAACAGCGCAAATCATCCGTATTGTTTCCTATCCAATCAGAAAAAAGTCCAGATTCTGGCTTTTTTACATGTGATCCGGCAAAGAAATGTATCATGCCCTCTTCCCGTGAGAGACATAAAGGGATAATAGGGAGAGGGCATGATCTCAGGCTATGAGCCCCCACACCAATGGAACCAGGCACCTTATCAGAGAAAAATTAAAGGGAGGGAAGGGTTGGGGGAAAGGCACAATCTAAAGGCTGATCAAAGAGAGTAATCGCTTTGAAAGCATTGTACTAAGCACATGGAGCTGGAGCTAATGGTAGCAAGGGTGACTGTGTTTGAGCCACCAAACTGACCGCTGAGCAACAACACACAATGGCGCTCCTTGTTATTAACTGCGTTAAATGTTGTTTAACTTCATGTTACATTTCTCGTCTCCCTGTAGTGGCTGCTGTTTTTCTCAGACCTCCTCCAGTGCTTACAATATGGATCATTAGCTGTGGATATGTACCTTAGGATTTTGAAGGCAATTGATGAGGAAGTGGTTGATAGAGATGTGATAAGGAGTCAACAGGTTTATTTTGTGAATTGTTTTAAAGACTGTTACAATTTCCATTGGTAAAAATATATCTCCAACAGAGAGGGGTACAATCAAACAGAAATTGAGAACCTATTCAATTCTATATATAATATTGTACTACCTAACATCTCATACGAGCAGCTTGCAGCCACTGAAGCTGAACCCATTTTAGTGGGTGTCTGTAAAGCGTGTTTGGACTGTACCTAAATTTTTTATTTTCCTAATATAAAAGCTCGTTAAAGCTTGTCATTCAAGTTGTTTTTGTTGTGACAAAGTCCACCATGCCACACACGTGAAGTTGTCGGTGCTGATATGAATCTAAACATGCTGTGCAAAGGGCTATGCTGTACATGTGTGAAATTGCCCTGATGAAAATCAAAATCCTTTGGAGTTAAAACACTGCTTCTAGAATCTTGCTTGTCACATCTTGAAACTTGTGTAAAGACTCAAAGATTTGATTTAAGACTGTCAACTTTTGTGGAGTTTCAGTCGGTTGTACTTGTACAAGTTTGTAAAACCATTTACTGATCAATCAGTTTAGAAGCTGAATGAAATTTTTCTTCCATGAACAGGAAGCAGAGAGGAACACAAAAATTAATGATCACATCAGGGATACGTGCGTCACAGAGCTCGTTGACTCTTGGTTTCAGATTCTGGTAGGTGGGAATCTTGTATTTTGGTACAACAATGAGGTTGAGGTTTCGCTGACTGTTTTTTAATTACGTTTTTGTGTGCAGAAAACATATGAAAATAGTGTGTCATCAATAACGTGCCTTTGCCTGGACATCATTGGAGCATATATTGAATGGATCGATATTGGCCTGATTGCAAATGACAGGTTTATCAGGTAATGTTCATTTTAAAAGGGGCAGAGTAAAGTTAATGCAGACTGTGGACTGACTGTAGACTACACGGAATAATATTTTTAGGGTTAGAAAACAATGGGACTTTTGGTGAAAGAATGAAAGATGGTAAAATTTGAATGTACACCCTGTAATATAATTTATGGCCTCCCTCTCCATGAGTTCTGCATAGGTCAAGTGGATAGAGCATCTGCCCGGTGTTTGGGAGGTCATAGGTTTGAATCCTGTCAGGGACTCAGATTTTTTCTTTGTCCCACGCTCATGACATGCTGATTATTTCATTTTTCACAATGTTACTTTTGTTGTCACATTGTCATTTGCTTTGTGAAAACAATAGTCATCAGTCTGTGTTTTACGCTGACTGATGGTAAAAATGTTTCCTTTGCTCTGTGTTATTGTTTGCTTTCAATTCTCATAAAGTCAGTTTTTGCAAGTAGCCTGTCAGTGGTTGAAGTCAACTGGCAGCTAATAATATGGAAAAGCATCATTTCTCATTGCTGAAAACTGTAAAAAGAGGATTTTACTATTAGCACAACCTTTGATTTTGTGTCCTGCTTACAAATTGATCATGTTTCTTTGTAGTACCTTTCTCCGGTACATGTCAGTTGAAGTTCTTCGGGAGAGCGCTTGTGATTGCATACATGAGATTATCATGAAGGGAATGGAGCCACTGGCAAAGAAAGAACTGGTGGAATCTCTTCTGAGCGTTCTGGAGAAAAGCAGCATCCTTGAACCACAAGAGGTAAAATGATTATTCATGTGTAAGCGTAACATTTTTGTCCAAGATTGTAGGTTCAATACGCAGTTTCCTCCATATTCCCAGGGGTGAATGGGTGAATGTATTTTTTGTTTAATTTGTTATTTGAATCATCACTTTTAGGATGAAGATGCTGACTTCATGGCCAAGTTAGCAAAACTGACGAGTGCTTCAGGGTCACAGCTTCTAAACAGCTACACTAAGTAAGAGATCATTGATTTGCTAGCACAATTTCAAACTGTGTTCTTAAGCAAGACAATACTTTAGAGAGACTGAGAGTTGTATTGTCAGGAAACAGAAAATGTGAGATTCAAGTTTAGAATTTCTCAAAATTGAAAATGTGCAGCTAAAAACAAGACATAACTAATGTGAAGCTACTAAGTTTGTGGTAGAATTAGTAAACAGTAAATTGCACAACAAAGTTAAGGGAAAACTTAGTCACATGGTATGAATTTCACGTTTGCTGTAAACATAACTACAAATCTTTCTATTATCCTGGACAAAAGTCCTTGAGACAGTACTGCAATATTCTTATTTTTCTGTCATTTCTCGGTTCCCTCTTAAAACAGTGCCATCCTTTTTAAAATCTTCTTGCAGTTCTCCCTCCTCCCCCATACAAAGTTGAAAGTCGGTAAAAATTCAGGATAGTCGATACACACGTCCAACATGGGTGAGGGAGGGTTGGGCCTGTGTGAATTGGAAAACGTCCCTGAGAAATGCAGAAGTGTTCCAGGACTTTTGGTAGAATATCAGAAACTTTGCTCACCAATTACGGAAAGGTACTGCACTCTGTAATTTATCTGCATTACATTTTTAAACTTTTTTTTTTGGTATTAATGGCCTCTTTTAATAAAACACTTTAAAAAAGTCAAACTTCTGTAGAGCTGATCCCCCCAACCGAAACAATCTAGAAAGAGCTCAAAAAGAGATGCAGTTTTTTTAGTTTGTTGTTATAATTCAGCACTGAATACGAGAAAGGTCGTAACAGGTTTTTTCGTGTTCCAGTTACTCTTATATGCCAAGCATGACCAATGGTTTTTTAAGTGAAAGCGTAGGCTAGAAAGATTTTCCTGGTGATTCGCTTTACAAATGTGTAGCAAATTAGAATGCTGAATTTACAGTAGTGCTAGGGCCGGCATAACTTATCTTAGAGAAGCCCCTAACATTCTTTTCTGTGGTTTTCCGCTTTTTAAGAACATTATCGAGGAGCAGCTTCTGATGAATCGAATGGCTGATGCGTGTATCAACTTGTTTGCTATGACGGCTTTGATTTCCAGAGCAGCGCAATCCATAAACCAGGGTCTATGAAGTGCCAGCCATGAGGTGAGTGATAGGTAGCCTATTTAAAAAAATGTAAGGAAGACCCTCGCATTTAAACTCGCACTAGCCTGCATAGCAGGTGTTCAAAAGGGAAGGGAAAGGGAATTTGGTGCTTGTGAGAAGTAGTTTCACACCCAAATTCTCTTCACCTTCCCTTTCGAACGCCAGCCACGCAGGCTAAACTCTCTGACTTGTGTATTTGTGAAAAAATAAAAGCCTGAAAAAATTCAGATTCGAACCAGGATTCCGGATTCGGGATTTGGGAGCCGGGACTCGAACCCTAACCTAGTGAGGCCTTTATTTAATGAGTATTGACACAGGCAATCGAGGAATATCACAGGAAATTAAGCTTAAAATGAGTGACAATGTTGTTGTCGAAGTAATTGCGGCTATTTTCTTTTTGCGGTAACTGACTTTACGTCAACCCTCTCACCCTCAACCTTCCCAGCAAAAAATGTTTAAAAAAGCTCGATACCATGGTGACGGTAAGAGCTATTTTTGGTGGCCTTGGCAAAATAGATTTACCAGAGGATTTTGAATTTATTTATCAACTGTGTCTTTTTTTTCAATATGTTTTCCTTACAGATACAATATGCACTAACAAGTGCAATGTGAACAATGCTCTCTTTAAAGAAGTCAGATCAGGTTAGAAGCTGCATTATTTTTTATTGGGCAGGGCGTAGCTATCTTAATGTACTGTAAGTGCTCTATTGTAGCGCAAACTTTGTTACTTGGGTGCCAGTCTTCATAGTTCATAGTGTCCTGCCAACCATTAGGCTATGTTCACACTATACTAGATAGCTTTTCCTGCCGACACAAAAAGCTATCCGGTATAATGTGAAAACCAATTCGATATATAACCCTCCAATTTCAAAACTGGCACGGCGCACCTTTCATTCCGTTACAGAGATGGCGCCGAAATCACCATTCTCAGAGGTGAACAGAAGCCCCATCTGGTAGGAGTTTCGTGACGGCGAGACATTTTTAGTCACTAAGTGTCATCACACAACGCCCCTCCCGTCACAACACTAAACACGGCTGTGGCTCTATAGCAGACTAAACAGATATTGGGTGTAGTGTGAACATAGCCTCAGTCTCACACATTGGTGAGTGGTGTTGCGTGATGATATTAGTCTGCTACACAACCGTTTTTAGTGTCGTCACGCAACAGTCCTCCCGTCACAACACTAAACACGGCTGTGGCTGTATAGCAGACTAAACAGATATTGGGTGTAGTGTGAACATAGCCTCAGTCTCACACATTGGTGAGGGGTGTTGTGTGATGATATTAGTCTGCTACACAGCCGTTTTTACAGTCGTCACGCAACGCTCCTCCCGTCACAACACTAAACACGGCTGTGGCTGTATAGCTGACTAAACAGATATTGGGTATAGTGTGAACATAGCCTTAGTCTCACATATTGGTGAGGGGCGTTGCGTGACGAGACAAAACGGCTACATTGCTAGATCAACACAACACTTAGTATCTTACAATAATTTAATACCTCTCAACTCAAGCGCGTTTTCCGTTTGAAAAGGAATGTGTCACGTGCTGCCTGCCATGTGCAAACCTTCCTAGCTCCCAAACAAACCTTACTCACACTTGACCAGGTCACGTGGTTTGAACCTACAAAAATCCATGTGCCGATCGAGCCAAACAAAAAAAATTGCCACTCTCATTACTAAACCTAATTGATAATTTGTTTTAGTATTCACCAAATCAGTGGATAGCAACTTTCACGCGTTCTGATTGGCTCCATTAACTCGGAATATCCTTTGACATTCACTGTTTTTGGACGAAATTCAAAATGGCTTCCCGTTTCGCAACAGTTTCGAAAGATAAAATGTTAGCGATAAATGAAGCAGCTGCACCAACAAATACCTAGAATAAGACAAAATTGGGCTTGTCGGTGTTTACTGGCTGGTAGAAAAAAAATTTCTCACTGAATTTGCAACAAAATCATAAAAAATGATTCCTGAAACACTGTCAATTGAAACGTAAACAAACTCTGGCTAAGTGACGTCGTTTGTTTACAAAAAGTTCCTTTTTGATTTTTTTCCAACTGACTTGGTAAATACTAAAACAACTATCCCCCTCGGGGTCGGTTCATAGCGCTGGATATATACCTCGACGCTTCGCGTGTCAGTATATATGCACCACTATTCACCTCCCCTTTGGGGGATAGTTGTATATTATTTTTGACATTTCAGAAATGACAAAAAAGTCGTAAGCCCCGTCTAGCAACAGTTTTAATTATTCTGACTCTGCGGGATGTAAAAGACACACCAGGGACGTAACAAGTTTCTGACAATGATCCCCCTCCTCCCTCTCCCCCTCCCCTCCCTCTCCCCCTCCCCGTGATCTTGGGTGGGCAATCCGTAGGAAAAGATCTTAATTCAGGGATAAACCCTCGGATTCTCCTTCAGGGTGATGAAGCAGCCGCCTACAAACGTACATTAGATATGAGTTTTTTAGGTTTACCTCGGTGTATGTAGCCTGGGAATGCAGATGTATTTCTGGTCGTCCCTTTTCTCCACCCGGAAGTAAGAAAAGCGACGACCAGAAATACGTCTGCGTTGACTGGCTACATACAGCGAAGTAAACATAAAAAACTCATATCCCATGTATGTTTGTAGGCAGCTGCTTCATCACCCTGAGGGAGAATCCGAGGGTTTATCCCTGAATCGAGATCTTTTCCTACGGATTGCCCACCCAAGATCACGAGATCACCAAGATTTCTTTGCCTCGCACCTTTTTTTTTTTCGGTTCTACTGTTTTGACGTCTTTGTCTTCTTTGGTTTACGTTACTCGTGTGTTTTACAGGTTCTTATACACCGAGGGTGAGCCAGTTTTTTTTAGGAGTTTTGGTTCGTTTCATTTTCAGGTTCAAAAAGGAATTGAGACGATCATTTTAAAGTAAATTGCCACAGATGTTTTCCATAATGGAGGGTGCGTAGCACCGCACACACTGAACGTCTAAAAATAATTTATTTTCATGTTTTAAATTATTTCACATGAAACTGTATATGTAATGTCTGTTAGTACAGGATGTATTTTAATGTGTATCGACAGGGGTCAACGGGCTTCTGGGATAGTACATTCTGTTGACAGCTTTTCCTTTGTATTTCTGTTCGTGAATAATGTGATACAAGGAAACTTTAACGTTTATACCATTGTTCTGAATCTAAATTTAACTTCTTTTCCTAGTAGGTGAAAAGAAGGCTCAAGGCTGTAAGAGTAACCACGTATGGAATAAAATACGTCAGGCATTCACAGTTTTAACAAGTGATGTGCAAATAATTGTTTTTCTTCAGCCAGGGTCATGCGAAGTAGATGCGTTGAATGTGAGCTCGACGCTGTAGTGAAGCCTGGACGTTTTTAGTTGCTTTATTTCATACTACTTTTCTGGTCCCAGGATTATTGATTTCTTTTTTATTGGGCTGCCTGTGGCAAACCCACAGGGCGACGCTCAATCAAGGAATGAGAAGCGACATTCTTCCATGGTCTACCATATTAAGTCGAAAAAAGACAAAATGGCGGGTTGATCTCCCAGTAGGGATTGCGTGTCCCTTTCCGCCTACAGTAGATCCGATTTTTAAGGGAAGGGGATGGGCCATTTCATATAAAAGGCTTTCAAAGTGCTATGCTTACGCCAGAAAGGAAGGAAAATGGTAACATCGTAGTAAACCCATCGAAACTTTTTGCCCAAAGTCGCCCTACCACTAGACAAATTTAACTTGTTAATGGAATTAGAAAACAACAGCAGTAAAAGCTATTAGTACGTTATTTGGCTTAACTCGACTATGCAGATAGATCTTAAAAAAAGATCGCACTCTTGTCACTGATAACAAACAAACACTGTAAATTTAACCGCACAGAATTTTTTTGCAGCCCAACACACGCGTAAAATCACCAAATTTGTCGTAAAGCTCTGATTACCCTGGGTTCTAGAGGTTGTTCCTCGCGTGCGGTGGGCGGGATGCTTCGGTGTCGGCTGCTGGCCGAGAGATCTTCTGCCGACCGAAGGCCGAAGCCACGAGCAGCAATATCTTGCGGGTCACTTAGAACCGGTAACTGGACATGAATCTGTCTCCCTTTGGAAATTCTTTTCTCCAAGCAAACCCCTTCCTATGTTGAAATATGTAGCTTCTGTCTTCATCGCTGCCGCTGCTTAAACGAGAAAATTAAAAACCTACAAAGTATTCGAGAATCTTCACCCTGGACCGTGGTGCAGCTACTTCCATTGGTGACCAAAAAATTAAAATCATCTCAGGGGCACCCAACGAGAGTACAGTTCAAAACTACTTAAACACATGGCATTGTTAAACGTATTTTAGTATTTAAACGGTAGATATAAGGATATTTTTATCCCCGAAAAATTGTCCATCTGTTCGGATTTCCTGGCTGAAAGTCTAGTGATCCGAAAATTATAGGGATCAAAACTTACCTTTTCGAAAATTTCAGCCAGAAAAAAGGCTCCCGAAAATTCTAGGTGACCTTTCTTGGGTAAAAACCGGTTAAAAATGGGCAATTGTACCATTTTTTAGATGTTCGGAAATCAAGCAAGGAATTTTACAACAAATCACGGTTCCGAACAAATTCTAGATCTCAAATCGTCTTCCCAACAGATATTTTCGGAAAATTGACGTTGGGTACCCCTGAACATCTTGGCCCTCCCTAGATATACGTTGTAGGGAGGTGGCCGTTATTGCCAAATCAAAGGTGAGTTGATGAGATCGCCAGGCGAACAAAACTGCATCCGAGAGGGGAGGGGTGGCCTCAAAGTCTTCCTTTCCTTGCTCTTAGGCACGGTAGCTACCCCTACACCAGAGTATTTGCTCCCTTTTAACACTGAACGAGAAAAAATATATGGTCTATTTGGGCGACGGCGTCGTTTGATCACAAGAATTGCGGGACCCGCTGGACAAACCAAACATTTATTTTTCAAAGCGTGCTACGCCACGTAAAAAGGTTAAAACCCTTCCGAATCGTTGAAATATTTCCTTTTCTTCAGTTCTTTAAGACTTAAATGTCAAACAGAAGTATTAACTTGCTCCCCCCAACCTGGGGAAGAAACCCAGGGTATTTGACTTGCTGATGTACGCGGAAAGGCGGGAATTTGACAACAGTGACTGCTATTGGGGTGAACTTGATGGCATCTGGGATTCGAAGAGGATTGAAACAAATGGTCTCAATCATGTTAAACTACTTTTGGTGTTGTTAAAGTGTAGTACCTTGATAAAAATTAATTATGGCGGGTATGAAATATTGGGAAAATTGAGTTTGTTTCTGTTTCTCCTATGTTCCTTGTTGCTGTTGCCAAGCAAGGCCCATGGGTAGGGTATATGACAGGAAATCTGCAACAAAAAAGTCCATTTTGAAGTCAACTCTCGCCTTGCGGACACCCCGCTATAACGTACACCCCGGTAATACGGACAACAGCTAAATCCCAGGAAAAAATAGATCATATTATTATATAGACACGAGTGTTTTACTGGAAAATATAACACTCGTAAAATTCATAAAAACCACATCCGGGACCCGAGTCGTTTATTTTCCATAATCTCACACGTGAGTTTATCGATGACGTAATTTCGGTAATTTCCCTCTACTATTTTATCGATGTCTTTTTGTCTATATAATGAAA